TATGAAACTAAATACACCTTTCTATACAAATCCAACAGTCATGCTTCTTGCTATTCACCTAAGTGATAATTTTTAGGGCAATGAAACCATTCTGCATGATACTATTATGATGGATATATATCAATGTGAGTTTATTAACTTTAAAAAATTCAAGTTTCTGGGACCAGTACTTAGCATAATGGCTATGTTGTTGAATTCTCATGTAGCTGACCGCAGTTAGAGTCCCGGACCTGGAAGCTTAAACTAACACCAGGCGCATGTGCGTGTATGCCCAAGATCCCAAGAGGAGAATGGAGGAGAAGGGATTGCGGCATGGCCACCCCCCTGGGGGGGCGATTTCTTGCTTTCTATCTCTCTGTCTCTGTTTTTCTGACAAGCACACACGCTCTAGAGCAAAAACCTCTCCAAAAAAAAAAGGGGGGGGACCAGCAGTTAGCGTAATGGCTATGTCGCTGGACTCCCACATAATTGACCACGGTTCGAGTCCTGGACTGGGTGGCTTAAACTCACACCAGGAGCGTGTGCGTGTGTGCCCATGATCTCGAGAGGAGAATGGAGGAGAAGGGATTGCGGCATGGCCATCCCCCCTGGGGGGTGATTTCTCGCTTTCTCTGTCTGTCTGGGGAGCGCACGCACCCTGTAGCAAAAACCTCTCAAAAAGAAAAAAAAAATAGCAAGTTTCTGATGAAGAATGTTGAAAATGAGGGAGATTATGCGTATGTGGTGAAGTGGGAGTATATGGAAACTCTCTGTATTTTCTGCTCAATATTGCTGTACACCTAAAACTGATCCACAAAGTGGTTTATTTTAAAAATAACATGGATTATTAAAAGCCCCACTGTAAGACTACAAGTGCCTATCCATCTCAAAATCTGAGGGTACCACCAGCAATTAAAATCTGGATTGACATTAAGTTAAAGAGTAAGAGGCATTTAAAAACCAACTACCATTAATGTCATTATTTATTTACAGGGCATTGTGTAATTGCATAATTGTGCTAGATATAGATCAATGTATGCTGTTTATTGAAGAACATATAGTCCAAAGATAGAATGGAAATTTAGGAACAACTTTATTTGCTCAGTATCATCAAAGTGAGCAATCTTGTGGAAGTACTTCATTCCAAAAGATTAACGATGTGGACAAAACTTCTTATCAATATTTATAATTCTTTTACCTAATTACATATTGAGAAGAACCACACTGTCTTAACTTTGACATACATGTTGGTTTATATGTTATGTTTTAATTGACAAATTCTAACAGATGCATATTTCACAAATCTATCAATATAAAACAAATTATAGTAAATTGTACTCCAAACAATATAGTGTTTTAATATAGGATACAGAATACCTTGCATCTCAACTGTTACCAATCATTTAGAATTGTTTACTTCAATATAAAAGCTTCCTAGGGCTGGTAGATGGTGCGGTGTTTAAGGTGCTGGGCTCCCATATGGCTAACTATGGTTCAAGTCCCAGACCTGGTGGTTTGCTTTCTCATTTTCTCTCTTTCTGGTAAGTATATGTGCCCTCTAGCAAATTAAATAATAATAATAACAATAATTAATAATACATAAAGTTAATAAAGTTTTAAAGCTTCCTTAATGAACAAATTCAGAAATAGGAGTGTTACACGATTGAAGAGTTCACATTTTACTTTCTGGACATTTACCTTTGCCTCACATATCCCTCAAACTAGTTATTGGTCCAGTTCCGGCTTGCTGTTCAGTTTGTTATATGATGTGTGGGCCCAGTAAAGTCTACTCTAATGTAATGCAAAGCATAAGAATTAAACCCACTTTCCTCTTGAAGATGTTCTTAGGACTTTCGTATTAGGAAGGAGAGTTCCACACTCTGGAGCTACGGAATATTAGGATCACACTGAAAGGCCTACCACCCTTCTTTCCCACTTCCGGTTTAAGAGCACTGCCTCCTCCAAATTCCCCAAAGCACCAGTGTTGCAGTTCTCTCTGAAGCTGCTCATACCTCTTTCTTCACTCACAATGCCCTGTCCTCCCTCTATCTGTCTTACTCCTTACTCAGCTTTGAAAACCCCAGTCTATAAATGCCCCCCCACCAGGAAATTCACCTTCTATGCTCTGAAAGACTCCTGAAATAAGACTACACAGAAGCTTACCCAGATAACAAGTATAGATTTCTGTTAAATTAAATTAAATTCGGCCTAAATCTGCCTCAAATGTAACAGTGCAAGGTAACTGTAATATATTCTGGTAGCAAAAAGCTGAGTCCTGACTAATCACAGCAGCTGTACTTCAGCCAATCACAGACCACAGCCACATAAAGCAATGGCTTAGCTGTATCCAATGGAGATGCTTCTGCATGGCCCTGCCTTTTTTTCTTGTTGTTTTTTTTTTTTCTTAGAGGTTTTTGCCTTAGGGTACATTTGCTCAGAGACGAAAAGACAGTGAGAGGATAATTGAGAAATCATCTCCTAGGAAGGAATAGCCACATCACAATCCCTGCTCTGTCATTCTTTTAAGATCTTGGGCACACATGTTCATGCGTCCGGCATGAATTTCATGGCACTGGGTCTGGGACTGGGACCATGGTCAGCCATGTGAGAGTCCAATGACATAATCTCCATGCCATCTGCTGGCCTCCACCTTTTTATGCCTACAAATACTGCTGGCCCATATTATTGTGTGGAGTTCTTTAAATTTGTGAGTGGTTCTGAGTGCTTCTCCACTCATGAATCTTTCTTTGCTCAAAGAAAGTCTGCTAAATTTGATTTGATTCAAGTATTCTCTTCACATTTCAAACAGCGGTTCTAGTTCACAGTGCAATATTGCCAATGATTTATTTTAAAAGCTGTCCCCTTGTGAGTGAGCAAGTTTTGCATCTAGCTGTATGATATACTTTATTCTCTGTTCCCATAGCCTCATACACTGCCCGGCCCATAGTAATTGCTCAAGAAATATGACATGAATTTAATTAAGTAGTGCATATCGTGCCATTTTTGTGATGCTTTACTTAAAATCCAAAATACTTTTATTTACTATTTAAAACTCATAATTTAACTTGAAGACTTGAGTGTTCTAACCACATGTTGTGCCTCCCTTTTCTGGTTCCTTTTTTTTTTTTTTTTCTTTTTTGAGATTTCTGCTATAGGGTATGTGAGCTTGTTGGAGAGACAGAGACAGAAACTGAGAAATCACCCCCTCCCCCACAGGGGTGTGGCCACACCACAATCCCTTCTCCTCCATTATTTTGGGCATGCACATACACGTGTGCCTGGCTTGAAACTCAAGCCGCCAGGTCCTGGATTCAAACAGAGGCTGACTATGTGGGAGTCCAGCACCTTAACCCCTACAACATCTGCTGGCTCCTCCAGATCCCTTTCAACTTAAATAAGAAGCTGCTTTATTCTTGTAGTTGCTGCTAGTTGAGAAACCAGTGTAACAGAAATTCATTAATGTAAGCAAGATTTGCCTAGACATCAATGAACTCAAAAGGCTCCCGGAGGGCCACTTGTAGTGTCAATAAAGGCTCATAATTACTTGCTCCTCAGAGCATTTTCAACCTAACCCCTTAGTTCTCTGTGCTTCAAAGATGAAACTGGAGAATTCAGAGGTTCTTCACAACCCTACGCAGAAAGAACAGTAAGCATGAGTGGGGACCTCTAGTCTTTAAGCAAAAAGTGCTGGCTGTTATTATTTTTAAGCTGTCGGAGAACTGGGAACTCAACTCCTTCTCTTACCTCCAAGGAGGCGTGATGGTGAGTCTCACTACTCCCTGGCACTGCAATGTGTAAACCACTCAGTGGTCAGGAGCGAGTGGTCACTGAAGCCACTGGCGGGGCTGGGGGACTTGGGAATGGAATTTACACTGACAGATGGGGAAATCCTGGCTCCCAGGCACTGCCTTCTGTTGGGGATGCCTCCTGATTTAGGAGCCCCATACAGAGGACAGAAACAAGGCATGGGATGACCAGATTGGCATCACTCAGGGAAGGGGGAGGTACTGAAACTAAAAACTCTTAACGCAGAACTGGGAAAGTACCCCTGCCCCTTGCAGTACAATGAAAGTCAGGAAAATGCTAGAGGGAGGAGAGTGGGAACTGGAGGCTATTTCTGTCCATCTGTCCATACATCCTTCTATGTAGTTATGATCATCTGAGGCTTTCTAAAAGGATCTTGCTTTCCCGCCCTCCCCCTCTTCTTCCCCGGCGTGTGAATGCGTGGGTGGGTGTACTTGGGTTTGAGAGACCGTGGTAACTGCTTTCTCCCCAGTATCCTGTTTCTCCGCAGTGAAGTTTAAGTGGGATTGGAGTTTCCTTGACTTCTGCGTGAGGAGTTTCCAAATGACAATGAGAGTCACATAAATATCTTAAAAGTTCCTAACGGCACCTTAGTCATCTCTCCTTGCCAGCAGGATCCTGAGCCAGGTCACCATCCACTCCCCGTGCTAAATGAGCGATCGGCCAGTAGGTTACGTGTGCCTTGGTACTTTCCAGATCGAGCTGTGCACCGAATAACAAGCGCCCTCCTCCTTCCCCTTCCCTCTCTGGTTGCCCTGTCTCTCCGCCTGAGAACGTGTATTCGCGTACGAGCATGTGTAGCAAAGAGGCTTGGAAGAAGCTAGCCCTCCTGTAACTCGTCCTCAGCTCTATCCCAAGCATTCCCCAGGTGACACGCGAATCAGATTTGCCCCCCGCTGAGGTGCCCCTCTCCAGGTTTACGCGGACAGACTGTCTTGGAGCCCTCAGGTTCAGGGGACTGCCGATCGGCGTCCCAGGAGAATGCAGGCGTGTGTCTCTGTGTGTGCATGTGTGTGTATGCATGTAAGTGCGCGAACGCGCGCGCGTACGACCGCGGCTTCCTCTCCAGCACTGCGAGGGCAGAGCCGGCGAGATTACTCTCCGAGCAGCTCCAACAACGCCAGGCAACCGCAGCCTCCGCCCCCTCCGCCCGGTGATTGGCTGGTTCTGCTCATCATTTCCATGCTAGCAAAAGGGAAGGACCAGTGACGCCCTCGAACCCAGCTGCAGAAGCGGCCGCCACCTCCGCTGCACAAGGTGTCTCATCAGAAAAGAAACCTGAGCCCCAGGGAGGCGGCGCGGAGCCGACCCCGGCAGGGCTGGCGGGGACCGCGCTCGCGGGCGCCCCGGCAGGGCGGGCGGGAACCGCGCTGGAGGGCGCCGGGCAGAGCTCCCGGACCAGGGGGAGCTCCGCGGCGGAGGACCTTAGCCACCTGATCCTGGGACCCCGGCTCCACGCTCTCCTCGCTTTTTACAGATTTCCCCCCCGCGGCTATCTCCCCAAAACGGAGCCTGTATCTCAAGAGAAGGTGCAGGAGCTGGGGCAACCAGGACTTTCCCGGGCACCCAAGATGCGCTCCATTCGGAAGAGATGGACGATCTGCACGATAAGTCTGCTCCTGATCTTTTATAAGACAAAAGAAATAGCAAGAACTGAGGAGCACCAGGAGACGCAACTCATTGGGTAAATGCAAAGCTTCCTTTCAGGATCTGACAAAAAAGTCAAGCCATAAACGAAATGCGAACGTAGCCGGCGGAGGGATGTTTGGGATAGCACGTATGTTTTGAGTTTGCGTGTGGTTAGTCTCAGGAATTAAATAACAAAGGCTGTTGTCGAGGGGTGTGTGTGTGTGCGTGCGTGTGTGTGCGCGCGTGTGTGTGGTGTGCTTCTCTGGCTGTTCCCAGGACGAGTTCAACTTGCCCTGCGCGGGGCTGGTGACAGGCGTGTTGGTGCCGGGTGCTTGCCAGCCCAAGGAGAAGTCACTGCAGAAGTGTCAACAAAGACCGTGTGCCCTTGTCCTTTCCATCTGTGGGCAGAACTCAGGCGACATGACTTTAGTCACCGAACGGTTGCCTTTCTTCTTTCTGGGCCCTGTCACTCAAGGGAGATACGATTAGATAAAGCGTTTCTGGAAAGGCTGAAGTTAAAGCCCAGAAAGCAGGAAATAGGTCTCCTCTGTTGCTCTCGTCTTTGGGGGGGGGCTTGGCTAGATCGGTGTAGAGCGTAGTCGTTTGACTTGGAAACTCCAGTACCAACAACATACTAATTTATTTGCCTGTCACGGGAAAATGCCTGGAAGTCGTAGTTACAGTTTTAGAACGAGCTGGGTGTTGTAGCTTCGCTCAGACTCTATTTCTGCCCTTTCTTCAGCGAGTCTAGATGAGTTCAAAATCTCCCCCGCCTGAGTGAGTTCTCTAAATATCACACTTCCTTCCTCCCTCCCCCTGGCCTCGGTGCCTTTGAAGTTTCCCTGGGAGGTGGTGCAACTTGGAGCCGCTGGCCCAGCTGGGAAGCGTTCTCCGAGGAGGACGTGATCCTGGTTGTTAACTCTGCTCCAAGTCCTGCTTCGGAAGTCCTCCCGCGTCCGGAGGCGTCCGCTGTGGGGAACTCCACTCTGGCAGAGATGCCCGCCTGGTTTTTATTTTCCTCTGACATTTCTTGAAATGAAGAAAGAGCCTTTGCCAGTGTGTGTGTGCGTGTGTGTGTGTGTGTGTGTGTGTGTGTGCGCGCGCCCCATAGGGCAGCTACACCACACAGCTAAACTTCATGCACTCCACTCATTTCTGAATACGGTTGCTCCTTCCTAAGTAATGAGCATTAAGTGAGCGGATGCACGTTGACTCTTCCAGAACTCCATTCTATAGGGAAGCAGGGGAGCAGTAGCACAGTCCAAAGGGAGTGGACGGGTATGAACAGGCGTGGAAAGAATGGACTGACGGGTCGTTGTGCATCGACGAATCTATACGTGGTCGCGGGGTGGTGGCGGGTGGGGGGGAGTCACAGGAGTGGTCGTTGAAAAATCCTGTCTAGCTCAATTGTCAGAAAGGGAGGGCCCCGGGCGCGGGTGTGAGCATCTGTGCGAACCTGTGCCTGCGACGCAGACAAAGGGGACTTTAGGAAGGTGATGAATGGGCGCGTGGGGGCTCCTGTGAGAAGGGGAAGCTGGGGCGCGAGGGTCGAGGCTCTTTGTTCCCTTCCATACTGGTGGGCTCGGAGGATAAGCTTGAGCCCAGACAAAGCAGCCAAGCCTCTCCGGGATTCTGAGGGTTCGGGCCTTGGCTCGGGACCCTGGAGAGCAGGAGTGGGTGGGGCAGCTGGGGAAAGGGGGGTCCAGATGTGGTCCAGACGTCCTTTCCAAGTCTTCCTAGACCGTGGGCGGGAGGGAGGGGACACCCCACCCCGAGTGTCTCTCCGGAGGAAATAACGGTCCCTGGAGACTCCGCGTTTTACTGGTGACGTTTCCCCAATGGCTCTTTCTGGATAGCCAAGGGCGCGGAGGAAGAGGAGGCGGGCACAGGAACGGCGGCCAGGCTCCAGCCAGCACCCCGCTCCCTCTGAGCCTCGGTTTCTGCCCAGCTCTATAGACAGGACGTCGGGCGGGCCTTCAGTTACCCAAACAGGAAGAGAGGTGCGCTCCGGCTCCATCCTCCACCCCGAGAGCTGCCGGCCAGGATGCAAGAAGGAGTGAGAAGGCAAGGGGAAGCTTTTATGGCAGGAATCGGGTCCCCTTGGGAAGAAAGAAAGAAAAAAATCACTCTCACTGCTCAGCCTGCCCCCCTCACTCCTCCTCCTTAATTAAAACCCGCAGTTACAGTCCTGCGGGCCCAGGCTGAGTGCAGGCGGCGGGAGTTGCGCTCTGCACCCGAGCCGGCAGGTCC